CGTGCTTCCGGATGAGACTGTACGATGATAATTTATTCTGATTCTTGTCTCCAGACGATTGTTATAGACACGTAGCAGACTTTTTAAAATTTTGTTCTTGATTTAAACTGCTCTAATTTCTTTGAAGTAAATTTATGATAACTGTTCAGTCCCTATCCGGAGGCATGTTGGCCCTCCAGTTCACCATAAACCAGCACCCTCCACATACCACTCCAATGAGCCCGCTCCCTCTGTTCCACCCCTGCTTTCCCGAGCCCATCCAAGATCCATTCCAGTCCTCAGCCCAGAAAAAGAGGCACCAGCACTCCCTCTAGAGTCCACTCCAGCGTGCCTCTCAGCGCTCCTGGATATGGCGCTACCCCCAGAGTTCTCGGCTCCTATCCTCTCACCTGAGTCCACTCCAGAAAACTCTCCTTCGTCTCCTGAGTCTCCTTCGCCTCCGCTGGTCCCGTCCAGCCCTCCTTCGTCTCCTGAGCCCCCTGTGCTAGCCAGACCCGCTCCTCCAGAGCGCCCTCCAGCACCCGCTCCTCCAGAGCACCATATGCCCGTGGCCGAGCCGGCTAAGGTCATGGAGGATGACCTCCCGAGCTGCCTGCTCTGCCATGGCGCCCCGAACTCCCTTATCCGCCCTGGAGGCCTTCCTTGTCTCCGCCCTGTTCCTGCCCTGCACCAGCCTCCAAACGATGTCACGTTTATGTTCTGTTTCTGTTCTCCCTGCCTTGACCTAGTTTTCCTGTGTTGCTTGATTTAGTTCATTAGTTTCCACCTGTGTTCATTAATCATCCTATTAGTCCATCGTTTGATTTAGTATTTATAGCCTGCCTTTCCTCAGTTTCTTTGTCCTGTCTCCATCGTGTAAAGAGGTTGTTTTCTCCTACGTTCCCATGAAGATTAATTAAAGACTCTGTTCGTTTGACTATCTGCCTCCTTTGTACTCCTTCGAGCTCCTTTCCCCTGGCAACCCGTGACAGGACAGGACAAGACAGGACCCAAAAACAAAAAGAAGGGATGACTGCTGAGGACAAGTTGTGGGGTTTGCAGCAGGCCAGTCAGAGGTTGGAAAGGT